ATTCTTTCTTTCTATCTTCTTCTATCTATTCTATTTATCATCTATCTATCCATCCATCTATCTATCCATCTATCTCTATATCTAAAAGCAAAATACTCCTCAGGCATCATCACATAATCTCCAGAACCATAAAGCCTACAAACTTGAAATTCAGCCTGTATGTTCCTTTTGGCTTCTAGGTGCTCACTAAGAAAGGATTTTTTGAAATGACCATCAGAGCATTTAGAGTATTTCCTATATTATTATTATTATTAACGTACTCTGGTGCTTTATTATTATTAACGCACTCTGATGCTAAGGAGTTCTACTCTCCCTCCCCACCTGAAAAGAAATCTGCTCCAAATGCAAAACACAAGCAGAGGAGAGGAGTTTCAGTTTCAGCTTCAGCTTCACAGCAGCAACCATCTTTAGTACAGAACAGTTGAGCTAAGCCACACCCAGGCTCCTTGCTGTCTCCTCCTTGCTCACACAGCAAATACTGCTTCAGTTTCCAAACAGCCCTCAACTCTCTCACAACTGACAGGACGCTAGCCAGGTGAATACCGATGGATGCTGGTAGGCAGAGGCACATTTTTCCCCCTTATTTTCCTCCCCCAAAACTAAGCCCAACCACATAGTTTCATACCGAAGCACGGGGATAGAGCTAGTGGATAAATAACACACAAATAAATAAATGCACAAACCCTCAGGGCCTATTTGTCTTGACAGCATCTACCCTTAACCCTTAAGGCAAGACAGAGCCTGGACTTAATTTCACTTGGTGAAGTTAGCCTAGTTGAGGCCACCATCTGGTGATGGTTCAGTCTTACTTCATACAGATAGGCCTCGACTTACAACAGTTCATTTAGTGACCGTTTTGAAGTCACACCAGCATTGCAAAAAAGTGACTCTGGACCCGTCTGTCACACTTATAGCCATTGTAGTGTCCAGTCTCTTTTCTTGTAGACATCATCTTCCAGTGAGGGAGCAACCCACAACGTCTGAAGGCAAGTTGGTTGACTGCTCTCACCCTTAGGAAATTTCTCCTTAGTTCTAGGTTGCTTCTCTTCTTGGTTAGTCCCCATTGTGTCTTGCTTGCCTTTTGGTGCTTTGGAAAATAAGTTGAGTCCCACTTCTTTGTGGCAGCCCCTCAAATATTGGAAGACTGCTATCATGTCTCCCCTGATCCTTCATTAAACTTGACATACCCAATTCCAGCAATCGTTTTTCATATGTTTTAGCCTCCAGTCCCCTAATCATCTTTGTTGCTCTTTCCAGAGTCTCAACATCCTTTTAATAATATGGTGACTAGAAGTGGATGCAATACAAGTGTGGTCTTACTAAGGATTGCGTTGAAGGACTGTCATGCGAATAAAATTTGGTATGAATTCTAGCTGGTTCAGGTGTCTTGAAGCTTCTGAAAAAAAGTCAATCTTTTCTGACTAAGAAAACTTGGAAGGAAGGCACAATGGCTGTTTAAACTAAGATACGGAATCTGGAATTCTCCAGAAATTAGGCCTGGAATAACTGAGCCACCTAGCTAATAATTACTAAGGAGAGAAGACTATTGTCTACTAAAGCAGAATGTCTCTTCGTGTCATTTATTTCCAATTAAATGCATGGAAAATCACACCGTAATGATTAACCATCTGGGTTTTGCTTTTAATATCGTTCAGGAAAAATGCAGTATTGTACGACATGAATTTCGTATGCACACACACAGACACACACACAGGTAGTCCTCGACTTACAACAGTTCTTTTAGTGACCATTCAAAGTAAAAATGGATCTGCAAGAAAACCACCAAGCTCAGAGAACACCAAGGATACCAAAGTCCTCTTCCTCCTTCTCCTCCCTTCTAGCACTGATGATGTTCCCTAGTTGGGTCATGAAACGTTTGCAAGAAAACCACCAGGTTCAGAGAGCACCAAGGGCCCCTGAGCTGCCAATATTGTCTTCTACTGATAATATAATGCTTCTCTCACAGCTTTTGGGGGGTGCATACTCAAAGTGGGAAAAGTTACACATCCCTGCTTCATAAGCAAGAGACGGGGCAAGGATGACATGGGATAAAACCTGCAAGACACAAAGGAAGTTTTTACTTTTTTGAAATTTCCATCTGCAATGTAATATAATATATAATATCCTCCAGGAACTTCATGCCTGTTTATATTGCAATACACAGTAAAATACTCCTCTAAACAGACTCCAGTTTAAAGAAATGGCATTGGGACGACATCTTTGTATAAGTAGTTTTAATGTTACCTACCACTGAGCATAAATATAAAAAATATACATTTAGAAGTAGAAACTGATATTGGGAGAAAAGAAATCGGCACATTTAGGAAAAACAATAATTGAGCAAATAAACATGTATAAATAAGCATGTTGCTTACATAAAACATCATTACACGGAATAAACTGGTAACACAAAATATTTATGGCATCTACAAAGTTTTTAAAATTGGAGAGATATACACTTTTCTCTTCTGACGCATCTGTTAAACCTTTGAAATACTTAAAGCCAATATAGGTGAGCAGAACAGAAAAAGATCAATTAATAGGATTTTCCATATTAAACTGCAATATTGAGAGGGAAAATCACATCTTCCCATTTCAGGTTGTTATTAACAAAATATTAAGGGTCGCAATAAGGAAGTTTTCTTAAGAGAACAAAACACGCCCATTTAATTGTCTACAGTAGCTAGATTACGGACATATAACAGTGCATATAAAAATGTTATACCATACAAAGAGACTCTCATATACAAACTTTTATATGAAAAAAAAATTAACTTTAATACTATTTTCATGAATCCACAGATCGTTAAAGTTATATTCCAAGGATGTCCTCCATAAAGCAGTAATCAGTATTTTTAAAAGTTGCTATTTGTAGATACTTGTTTTATCTACGAGATCATGTTTAAGTAACTTGCTGCTATAAGAAACCGAATCCACGCATTTGTAAACATTTCCAACATCTAGCTTGTATTTTTAATCAAAATAAAATATATTGGTACTTATTTAAGTAATAAAAGTATATTTTCCAGATGATCCAAATGCATTTCCTTTATTGTAGACCAGTGGTGGCTAACCTTTTTGGGCTCCAGTGCCTAAAATTGTGTGCATGCTGGTATGCTCGCGCTCACGTGCCAGCACTCAGAAGGCAATGCGTGCCCCCATGCCCCCTGCACATGCATGCGCAATCCCCCCCCCCGCCCGCTGCCCTCTTACCTGCACTATGCTTCACAGCTGATTTTCTGCTGGTTTGAGGCCTTTTTTGGCCTCCCAGAGGCTTGAAAAAAGCCTCTGCAGGCTAAATAATAGGCCCGTTTTGTCACTTACAGGAAGTGTATTACAGGAAGTGTATTACAGGAAGTGACAAAACGGGCCTATTATTCATCCTGTGAAGCTTACAGAGGTTTTTTTCAAGCCTCTGGAAGGCCGAAAAAGGCCTCAAACCGGCTGAAAATCAGCCGTGAAGCGCACGCATGCGCAGTGAGGTAAGTTTGCCTGTGGCTCGCGTGCTGGCACAAATAGGTCTGCATGCCACCTTTGGCATGCATGCCATAGGTTCGCCATCATGGTTGTAGGACATTCTAAAGAGTATAGATCAGAGCTCTATGGCTGTAATCCTAAATAGAATTATCAATTATCAATTATACTAAACCTCGTTAAAGTCAGTGGAACATTTGATCCACATGGACAGAATTACACAGTAAAAGTGGTAAGTCTGGTCATCATAATGTTTTTGTAATTTTCTTCCACAGTTCAACAATTTCCATAAAAGTCGCCCCACAGAACAGATAAAAAGTTGATATAGATAGTTCCTAACTTACAACAGTTCATTTAGTGACCGTTCAAAATTACAACGGCACCGAAAAAGGGACTTATATGACCATGTTTCACACTTATGGCCGTTGCAAGATCCCCAAGATCACAGGATCAAAATTCAGACACTTGGCAACTGGTTCGTACTTATGACCGTTTCCTGAAGTCCTGCCTTTTCAAAGCTTCTGAGAAGCCAAGTCAACGGCGAAGCTCGGATTCGCTTAACAACCGGGTTCCTAACTTAATGGCGGTGATTCACTTAACAGCTGTGGCTGTTAAAAAGTCACAAAATGGAGGCAAAACTCACTTCACACATGTCTCACTTAATATTGTAAATGTTGGGCACAATTGTGGCCATAAGTCAAGGACTACCTGTACAATGGCAGTGAAAAAAAAGAGACTTGTGAGTAGTCCTCACACTTATGACAATTGCTGCAACACACAGTCACATGATCAAAATTCGGATGCTTGGCATGGATTTACAATGGTCGCATGTGTGATGACCCAAAGGGGCATGGCACAAAGGCAACACCGTCAGATAATCAGTAGGAGTCCCTTATTAGCTCCAACTTTGCCCCCAAAAGTTACCTTCTGGCTGGAGAAAAACTCTCCCAGGAACAGCCTTGGGCTGCAGAGAATCAAATCCAAAATGTGGTCAACAAAAACTGTAACTATAAGTCCAATCAAGGCAAGATGAGGTAATTAGTTTGGCAGGGCAGGAGGAAGAATTCCAAATGTGAAGGCACAGCAGTAATTCAACACGGTTGGGAGAATGCCAGGAACGCAGATAACCAAAGTCAACACAAGATAAACTCGCGTTTGTTTCCAGCAAACGCCACAATCAGCTTGCATCTCTTTTAAACTCTCTTTCCAGGTGTGAAGGGAATCAGGGCCCTTTCCTCCCCCATAAGCCATGCAACTCACATTGCTCCCTTCTCCATTCTTCCCTGCATGCTCTAGGATGAAGAGGGGGTGGGTCTGGGTCTTCCTCTGAACTCCCTCTCCCTTGTTCTACCTCTCCCCTGTTCTGCCCAGCTGGACTTTGTCCTTCCCCAGTTTCCTCCACAGCCAAAGGAGCCACACTCACGTTCCCTGTTGGCTGTTCATCTTCCTCCTCAGATTTAGACTCCAACAGGGGCATGACAGCATGGTTGTGGGCAGCCTATTCTCCAGCCAATTTCTGACAAGCTTAATGGGAAAAGCCAGAGTCACTTAATGACCTCATGATTCACATAACAACTGCAGTTTCGCTTAACAATAACATGGCAAAAAGGATTTTGAAATCAGGTGTGACACACTTTGTTTCATCGCAGCAGAAATTCTTTTTGCTATTGCAGTTGTAAGATTACCTGTATTTTTCCTGAATACTAAGTCACGTTAATCAACAAAACCTCACCAATAAATAATAGCTCAATGACAAAAGATATTTTAGAATATTGCTGCTCGCAATAACGTCCCTTCCAAAGATTTCAGTAAAAAGATCCCCAGGTTAAAAGCTTATTTAAAGTCTGTTTACACACCGATAGCAAAATTGAGGTTGTGTGTGTCTTTTGAAAAATATTGCATCTGTTCAGCCTGACAGCCTAAGATCAATAAGGCAAAAGTCTTTTGGAAACATTAATATTGTAAATATTGTTCTTGTAAAGTAGGAATTAAAGCTTTAAGGTATACCGATACAGTACTTGAGGGTGAGTGGTTATTTTTGTGTGTGTGTATGTGTGCATTGAGAATGTTTAATCTTCTTCTCGCTGGTGTAAATCTAGAGCGCCCACTGCATCCCGCTGAGCTCGGTGGGATCACCCAATCCTCCTTCGGCTTCCAAATAATTCATAAGATCAGCCATGGTGGTCTCTTTTTCAAAATCTATCTGAGATGTGCCACCTACGGATGAAAAAATAAAATAACATAATAAATAGTCTTTTAATAATCTCATAATCCCTTGCAGGTTGGAGTCTGGGCAACTAAATGGAGCTAGCAGAGTGTTTCATGTCTGGATGCTCTTCCTGTCACCAGTGCGGAGTTTTTTTCAACAGATATATTCTCATCGTGCCCAGAGAGAGAAATATCTGCCTGTGCTGTCCAGACAGTATACAGTTAATTTGGGAATTGGGATAGTTAATTGGGAATTGGGAGCTGTCCTTTTAAGGGAATGCCTCATGGGAAATATAGTTAATGCATCATGGGAAATGTAGTTTATGTCATGTGGTCACATCTCTAATTCTGACTGGTCACTGAATTGACTCTCGGTTGAGTTTGGGGAGTTTCCATCATTCTTGCTTGGACCCCAGCACCATCGTTATGGGATGAAGATAACTGTATTTTCACACTATGAAGTCAACTGTGCAAAGAACTGGACATTAGATGAATCTTGATGTAACTGTGATTTATACCTTGAGGATGCCTTGTGATCCAATAAAGAAACTTTGTATGGAAGCCTTTGTAGAGTTTGCCTGACTGTCTTTATATTCAGCCTGCAATTTAAAGACAGCCTCTACCTAGGATTGAACTCACAGCCTCCTGATTGTGAGGCAGGAGCTCCACCTCTAGGCCACTTCTAAATAAAAAAAACAAAACCATAAAGGCCCTTATAGCCCACAGAAAGACTGTCATACCAAACAATGTTCCATAATTCACTATTTTTCCTGAGAGGTTCCTTCCCCCTTTCCGCCAAAGAGAGATAATCCTCAACTTACGGCCACAATTTAACCCTCAAATCTATGTCGTTAAGCGAGACATTTGTTCAGTGAATTTTGCCCCATTGTACGACCTTCCTTGGCACTGTTGTTCAGTGAATCACTGCCATTGTTCAATTACTAACACGGTCTTTAAACAGATCCGTTTCCCCACTGAAAGAGGACTCTGCAACCGCCATAAATGTGAATCAGTCGCCAAGCGTCTGAATTTTGATCACATTATGATTGCTGTCACAGCCGTAAGTGTGAAACACAGTCACAAGTCCCTCTTTTCACAGCCATTGTAACTTTGAACGGTCACTAAGTCAACTCTTGTTCATTTACAACCATAGTTCATTATACGACCATAATTGAGCCTGGAATTAGGGTCATAAGTTGTGTCGGTCATTAAGTGGGTATGGCATGACAGCCTCCGATTTGACCTCCTTAATTTGGAACAGTTCTTAAGTAAATCATTAGGTCATTAAGTTTAATGTAGCTCTCATTCAGCAAATGCATTGTCCGCAACGGGTGGTGTTTTTTTTTGCTGGAAACGTGTATTAAGCGCCAATTTCAGGCAAAAAAACAACAACCCATAATAAACCGTGTCACATGACTGTGGGAAGCTGCCCTAAGTGAGGACCAATCACCAGCCTGTATGCTGGCTGGGGGATTCTGGGAGTTGAAGTCCGCCTATCTTAAAAGTCGCCACGTTTCTTCTAAGTTTAACATGGTTAGAGATAAGATTAGATGAAGGAAGATTATTGCCATGTATGAATTAAATATAAAGATGGTTTATAATTATAAATATGCCAATATAATCAAAAGAAATTCAAATAAGCTAATATAAAGAGAAATCCAGTTAAAACTATTGTTATTATTATTATTGTTGTTATTAGTATGTGTGTTAATACTATCTTGATACCCATGCTTGGCTACAAAACTATGTGGTCGAGCTTAGTTTTTGGGGAGGAAAATAAGCAGGGTGGGGGGAGAAATTCTGCCTCTGCCTACCAGCATCCATCGGTATTTACCTGGCTAGCGTCCTGTCAAGTGTGTGAGAGGGTTGAGGGCTGTTTGGAAAGTGAAAGAGTATTTGCTGTGAGCAAGGAGACAGCAAGGACCCTGGGCGTGGCTTAGCTCAACTGTTCTGTTCTAAAGCTGCTGGGTGCTATGAAACTAAAACTGAAACTGAAACTCCTCTGCTTGTGTTTTGCATTTGGAACAGGTTTCTTTTCAGGGGGGGAGGGGGGGAGCGGAACTCCTTAGCATCAGAGCGTGCTAATAATAATAATAATATAGGAAATACTCTAAATGCTCTGATGGTCATTTCGAAAAATCCTTTCTTAGTGAGCACCTAGAAGCCAAGAGGAACCTACGGGCCCAATTTCAAGTTTGTAGGCTTTACGGTTCTGGAGATTTTATATATACAGATATATATATAGATTCCTTTTTGTTGTTTCTTTGCATTTGTGTAAACAATATGCCCTGACAATACACTGTATTCAAAACATTGGTTGAATCTGATCCTAGTTTAAATCACATGCTACGCAGATGTTTTCTCTCAGTTGCAGCTCCCAGCTGGACGCAGGATCAAACGGGCTTGTTTCCCACAAACCTTTCCGAACAAGTTACGTGACTTTCAGTAAAGAAGAAGGGAACTCACTGAGAAGAGGCTCATTGTTGGAGAATGAAGTCACATCTTGTGTTTCCTCCGGAGTTTCTAAATCTTCTATCCCTGGAGGACAAAGTTCTGTGAGCTCTTTATTTGGAGCCTGAAATGACATTTTTTAAAAATGAACAGAATGAGTATTTCTATCTATTTCTATCTATCTCAATATCTATATCTATCTATCAATTATATCTCTATCTGTATCTGTCTATCTCTCATCTCTCTTTTCTCTCTCTCTTTCTCTCTCTGTCTCTATCTCAATCTCAATATCTATCTATGATATCTATCTCTATCTATCTATCTATCTATCTGTATCTGTCTGTCTATCTAATCTATCTATCTGATCTATCCTCCATCCATCTATCTATTGATCTATCTAATCTATATATCTAACCAAGAGTATACCAACCCTACAAGACAGAAATAGTTGGGGAGATGTAGGCAAGTCCCTGAAGGAACCAGGTCCTACACCATAGCAGATATGGAGACAGCTGTCTTGCTTGGTCTTCTGTCCATGATTGTGTCACAACAGATGCATTTCTGGGATCTGGATCTTCGTATGGATACTCACCTCATCACAAGTAACGGGGAGGCCAGGAGAAGACTTCCTCATAAGATCAGATGGACTTCGTCTACTCAGAGGAGAGGCATGTAACCTAGATAAAGCAAAATATACTATTTTATTCTTATCAGAAAATGTTATTAAAGTTTTGGGTGACTCATAATGATTTTCATTAATGGCCTACTATTAATTAATTAATCAATTAATCAATCGATTAATCCCTACTATCAGTTGTTTTGAAAGTATCCCTAGATAACTCACAAGAAGATCTACAAGAAACTTCTAAATCTCTTCGAATTCTACACAGACGGCATCATTCCAGATGGGGCTCCACTATGGTACAATGAATATGATACAGTTAATGGTTGTGTTGATTAAACAGAACCGACTATAGAAAGAAAACGTATTGTAACCACCGACTAAGAGGTAAATGTGTAACTTGACTTGTAACTTTGTAAAGGAAATCAGAAGTGACTTTTTTGTGTCTCTTTTTATTCCTTTTCTTGAATTTCTTTTGTCCTTTTGTTGCACTTTTCTCTGGTTTCTTTCCCTTCCTTTTCTTTTTTCTTGCTTTATATTAGATTTTGTTCATTTGTATATGGTATGTGGTTTTTAAAAAATCATAGATAGATTATAGATACTGCAGATAGATAGATAGATAGATAGATAGATAGATAGATAGATAGATAGATAGATAGATAGATAGATATGATAGACAGAGATAGATAGATAGATGATAGATACTGTAGATTGACACACACACAGACACAGACAGATAGATAGATATGATAGAGATAGATAGATAGATAGATAGATAGATGATAGATAGATAGATAGATAGATAGATAGATAGATAGATAAATAGATAGATAGAGTTGATAGATTCTTATAGATAGATATAGATAGATGATAGATACTATAGATAGATAGATGATAGATGGATACCGTAGATAGATAGATAGATAAATAGATAGATAGATAGATAGATAGATAGATAGATAGATAGATAGATA